CCCTCCCCCTCTTTTTAGAGAAAAGTGAGTAATTAAGGAAGAATTAAAGTTGCTCTCCACCATTCATTGAGTTGTGGGAATGGGGACCTTTGTAAACTCGTATGCAACACATTAAATGTAATTGAATTTAAATAAGAAAAAGAAAACGCTACAAAAAGAGTTGTAAAGTTTCTTGGCCTTTTACAACCCATCAAAATGAGGTATTCAAAATTTAAACCATACCCACTTACCATGCTGAAAGGGAAGTGAGCCTGAGAATCTGACTCACAGACTTGGATTGGATCTTTTGCTCAAAAGTCAAATCTCAAAAGAGACGAAAGGCTAGCGATTTGCTTGCGGCCTCAATGTAAAAAAAAGTAGGCAACTTAAATCCACTAACAGTACAAAATGGAACTTTTTTTTTTCCCTTCAAGTACTTCAGTACATAAACAAAACAATTGATACTAATTTGTGTTTGGATTATTTGTGATTCATAAAGTGCAATAAACATCTACATTAGGAGTTTTATAGTTTTGGTTGCATATTAATAAAACTCTCGTTGAACTAGCAAAAGAAAGAAACACTCCCTTGGTGGAAAAACATGTGCTGCGTATTGCATACTGATCCTCCATTCCAAAGGCTACACACATTCTGCGGGCATATCCCTTTGGGTTATACCAAATCAATAGGGCAATGCGTACAAGAAAAAGAACTACAAATCTGACCTGACGCTATGGTTGTAAGTTAGACAGTCTGGTTCTAGTCTGACTTACTATTTTGACGTTATCTACTTCCCGTGCTCTCCACTCTCCTGATTAAAATCAACAATACGGTACCTCAGTCACATTTTCAGATTATATTGGCTGGCCACATAAAAACAAATGAAGATTTGAACTTATGAGACTATGATATTGTTTAGTTCTAGCTAAATAAAGTGTATTTTTGGTACCTTTTAATGAAGCAGTGCAACCAGGTTTTCTGGCCTCGACCAGCTGGTGCTTTATTAGATGCAAATCTTGAGAAGAGAGGGAACAACTCATGTACGAGTGGTGTCAGGATGCTATAGATCAACCCTAGGTCGGGCTTGAACGATCTCCTGACCTAAATCTTGAACATATGTATATGCATCAGCACTTTGTAAGGATAGGGCAGATTAGATGCAGAATCTGACGCAACATTCTGAACTGTTGAAAATTGGCTCTCTTCTGCTGGAGCACAAGGCTCGAGCTCTTAATTACGATCCTGTAGATCGGCCTACTTAACCAAAAAGCTGGTATAACCCCAGTTATATCAGTCCCACTTTTGCTAACTTTGGGGTCCGGAGAATGAGAAATGGCTTGATACTTCGACTATGGTGGTATGTTAACTTTTTCTTTACCAAATTTTTTTTTTAAAAAAAAACTGGGTGTCCATTTTCCACGCCATGATTGAACCCTTGCAGTTGCTACTGCTGCTTTGATGTATGAGCCTTACTGGACGTTAGTTTAAGGGGTCGTAAACCCAGAAGTGATTAACGTGATAATGCATTCACAAGGAGGACTCGACATTCTCCCAACAGTCCATGGTGATTCTGCTATCACAATGTCAACAATCTTTCTGAATTGTTCCGAATTTAGGACCGGTATTGCGTTGCTAATTATTCTGAGCAACCTTCCAAGTTTGACAATTAAAATATGGAAGTAAACTTAGAATACCTGGTTTATAAGAATTTAATCTAATTGAAATATGGTACATATTGTCGTATATATACTCCTATTTATTTTTTCCACATTTTGGATAAGATAAATAGGACGACTTGAACCTTTGATCCATTTTGATCTTATTTTAAACATTATTTTTTTGCCAATAAAATATTGGTTTAGAAATTATATGTTCACGATTTTTGAATACACAATAGAAAATGAGATTTTACAGCTTTTTGTGTGTATATACAGCTATCTAGAAAGATTATTCGCATGTAATAATAGCCTAATTGTAAATAGGGTTAACGTCTAGCACTCCGAATAATTGTACGGTGATTTACCATCTAATCAAATTATTTTTGTCATCAAAAATCTTTTATCACTTTCGTAAGAGACTTTAAATGATGCAGTGATTGTTGTTTTTAATGAAATTTTAAAAAAATTATTTTTAAAAATAATAACTTAATTGAAAACATAATTGCAACTGGCTGAGAATTGATTGGAACTCAATTTTGTGTACTTTTTGGTGATTAACATTGTGTCTTTTGCCATGTAAAATTCCTTTACTTTTTCTCTATAGCATATTAGTAGTTTCAAATAATGTTGCTATACATATTATACTTACCAAGGCCAATCATAGTTAAAAAATAATAATAATATCGTAGGCAACGCAATATATTTAATTTGGGGGATTAATTATATATGAATTTAAGACCTTTTTTTTTTCCTTTTACTTTGGAGAAGTCCGATCAACAAGCAACGATTCAGTTATTTCTTTGGCTAATTTTACATTAACATATACACTAAATAGTAGGTACCAAATTGCCAATTTGGCAAACAAAATGGAGTGACTGAGAACATTAACTTGAAAAAAAAAATAGAGAAAGAACCAAACGAATATTGTATATTTACTAATCTGATTCTTTCTTTCATATTATTCCTTCATCTGCGCGCTTTCCATTTTTGTTTTTTTAATTTTTGTGTTGGCGCCTGTTGGCTTTGAGTTATATATAACAAATTGATTTTCACTAATGACCCATCATAGGTTGGAAGATGTCTGTGTAGACACACACACACACACAAGCATGCATTCATGCCTACATGTACGAAATAAGGAAAAGCAGTGTCTCTGTATAAAGCCTGCAGAAGCTATTTGTTGCTGTTTGTGGGGTTATCACCTTCTCTCTTTCTCTTTCTCTTTCTTTGATCTTATGGCCGGTGCCTGGTGGTGGTGGGGTTGGGTAGAAATCGATAAAGTTGATATTGAATTTGGTGTGTCTGATATTTTTGTGGCCTTATCCCATGTCCCAAGTCCCAAACTGAACCTGTGTTAGCTTTTGCCTCCCCCCTCTCTCCCCCTCTGAGATGAAGGTACGTACGAGTTCAAGAGGGAGCTGATAGCTAGATTTATAGATTGATAGCTATCCATTTGGCTTGGCTTGGATTGGAGATATGTTACCCCACATGCTTTTCCCTTGTTGCAGTTATAACTCTGCTGCATGGGCAATTGGGACTACTTGTTGTTTCTGAATCACACAAAACAAGCCTATGGACATCGACTTTGATTCACACCCCTCACTAAATAGGATAGGTTGGACTTTGGAGGGTAGCATTTACAGGTTTTTGCACTCCTTTTTAATCAATCGATCGATCAATAATTAATTTTGGTTCCATTCTATTCTTGATCGTCTTGTTTCAATCAAGGAGTCTTTGCCTGATCATTTCAGGCTTGAAAACCTCTTAAGTTTGTGCATGAAAAGCATGCTAAAGTTTGAACCATTGCTTGAAGACTCCCCTCCTCGCTACATTATACATAACTAAATATCGTAGGAGTTTATTTCTAAATGTAATGCCCTTCCAGATTATACGTAGGCCTATGGCACATAATTATTAAACAAATTTGAGCTTTGTCGGTTATGCATTTGAGGATTAATTTGTCGACCCTGGTTTCAAACTATTTACGAAAATTTATTATGCAATAAGTATATACTTAGTACATTTATCCTAAAATATGATATCACATTATTAGTTTAAAACAATTTTATCCAAGAATAATAACATCAACTTATACTAAGAATCGACAATTATTCTTACACTTCTTTTTATCTTTTAATTATGTTAAGTATATATGGATGATGTAGGTTATACGTTTCAAATTAAATAAATATATATCTAATTCTAATACCCCTTCATGATCTTGCAATTGTAAGGTTTTGATCAAAGCTTAGGTTGGTCATGAGGTTAATGAAGATTAAAGTTAGGGTCCGTTTGGTTCTGGGTTTTGAGATATGTCTCCAAAATATGATTTTCAATAAAAAGATGTGTCATTACTCACTTGGATATTATTAATTGTTTTAATTTTTATATAATATATATGTGTATATATATATATATGTATAAATTGATTCAACGACCTACTAAGGAAGTTAAATTAATGGAAACTATATATTTATTAAAAATTGTGTAGTACATTATTGTGGTCATTTATTCTCCGAGTGCTTCTTTGTTAATTGCCCAATACCAGGGGAAATTCAGAGTTCAGACTGCAACAGCGGGAGCCTGCGTCAGGATGGGCCCACATATCTGCCCAATAAATTCCATCTGGGAGACTCTTAAAACGCCCTGCTTTAAGGCCCATACTGGCCCACTAAGAAGCCTGGAGAGTGGCTGGCCAGAGCACAACTAATGATCCCTTTGTACTTCATATTTTTGGAAATTTCAGCTTACCATTGCAATTTGTAAGACTTAGGAGCAAATAAATAAATAAATATTATTAAAAACATAAAAGAAAAAGAGGAGATTGAAACTCCAGGAGGATGAATTTCATATTAGTATAACTATTTTATAGGAATGGAATGAGCTTTTTCTTTTATAATTTTTAATGTCTCAAGGTGTATATTATATTATTTTTTTAAAAATGTTATATTATGATTTTTCATCTAAAAGTAAAGTTTCGTAATATTTGATAATTAATTTTTTAAAAAAAGCATTCTAGAGGAACAAAAATAATTAAAACAAAAAATTTTTAATTTTCTGATAATTTTAGACCAAAAATTAAAAATTGACACTATATATTTCTCAAAAAAAGATAGGAGTATCGTCTAAATTATTAATTGGTCAAAATAATGATTTGATTAAAGTTCTTCCATCTTCTTTCAATAGATTTTTATTTCAATACAATGTTCCAACCCCTGAATGGAGTAGAAGCCCATGAATGACCAGGTGGCATGGCAATAACCAAGGAAGGAAGCCAGACACGTGTGCTAATCCCAACCAATCACCTTACTGCAAAACAAGTGGATAAAAATGGAGAAAACATACCACACGTGCGAGAGCTTATCCATTTTAACGAAACTCCCTGTTTCCCTCCACATTTCATCTTCACAACAAGAAGAAAACAAACAAACTACCACTTGTAAATGGCACTGGCTTCAGTCTCCTCCTTATCCATCAATTCTCTTAGTATTTCTTCTTCTTCTTCTTCAAAAGCTCCATGTTACCATCTGCAATCTTTTTCAAAACGTTTTGGCGTCTTTTGTCAGATAAACAACCCAGAAATTAAAGCCCGAATTCGCGGTGAGTAATGATCTTGATTCTGCTTGTTTGATGAACATTGTTTTTATTTGTAGCACTCAATTTTAACAGAGTTTTCCTCGGAAAAGGAAGATTGTTCCTACAATAAGTATGCAGTCACGGATGCTAAGTTTAAGAGCTGGAGAGCCTTGGTTTCAACAGCATTGGCAGCAGCAATGGTTGCTTTTGTCTCTGATATGTCTGCTCTTGCTGAACTTAATAAGTACGAGGCAGAAACTCGTGGGGAATTTGGTATCGGATCAGCGGCCCAGTTTGGTTCTGCAGATTTAAGGTTCATTTTATAGCATCTTTAATGGTTAACATGTCTGTTCTCCGTTTAGGAAGGGGATTGATTTCTGTGTGTTTTGCTTCATGCAGGAAAGCAGTTCATGTGAATGAAAATTTCAGGTAACCATTGAATGTATGCTAAGTTTGCATGATAAAGAATTCTAATGTGTGCATTTATCTTTCAAACAAATTAGTCTGCAACTACAAAATTGGGGGATGCTGACATTGAATTTGTACTAAACAAAAAAATTTAGCTATCGAGAGATATTCAATAATGGAATGTTCTAGTGTGCCAGTTCCTAATCAATCGGAAATCTGGATGGTTGATACAGAAGGGCAAACTTCACAGCTGCTGATATGAGGGAATCTGATTTCAGTGGTTCAACATTCAATGGTGCATATCTTGAGAAAGCAGTCGCATACAAGGCAAATTTCACAGGTAATTTTGCTGCCAAAGAGTAGTTAGCTTCATATATGATATAAAGAATACATGTTTAGATAATGACAGCATTTATGAAATGAAAATAATACCAAGTTTGAATACCAGATTATACCTATAACAAACATTCAAAACCTAAGTGAAAATTATCATCTACCAATAACTTGTGAAGCTTCTGCAAGATCAAAATTGTCCAACCTTGGAAATTAATGCTTCTTTCTTTTGCTTCTGTTTCCATCTCTGGTTGTATTCGATCTGGATGCTCTTTTCCTTTCCCTCCATGGGCAGTTTCGTGCAGCCATCCATACCGTTATTATCAATTTAGGCACTCGATATTCCATAGTACTTGGACCTTTTTCCTGAAACTGAATGCTGCATTGGCCTGATAAATTTTCTGATTCCTGTAAATTGCTCATGAAAGTATTTGTGGAGCAACTCCCTTCTGAATCACTCAGTACTATAAGTGAGGGATCTTCTGCATCAGACAGCTCATGGTTTAATCCATTTGTCTCAAAAGTAGTCGCTTCCAGGATATTCTCATCCCTAACTTGAGGACATCTTCTTATACAGCCCTCGGGAGAATCCATAGTTACTAAGTCTATTGTCTTGGGTGGCAGACTCGGAGCTTCAGGCTCTGAAGTTTCCGACTGATCAATCAAGCCCATGGAGTCTATAACCTTTGGCATATCTATTCCTTGTTCTTCTTCTGATAATGCTACTGACTCAAGGTTATTGTTATAAATAGAAGCCATTGAGTCCTCAGATTCCAGATCATACCAAGAGCTGCTGAAAACCAATTTAGCTTCCTCTAATGACTCTGAAGTTTCTTTCAAGTCAATGTGTTCGATGTCATCCAAGGCCTTTGGTGTCTCTCTTTCCGCTGATGTTATTGAATCAAGTCCCTTCTTCGAAAGACAGACCCCCAATTCTGAACCAGCCCACAAGCTAGAGTCTGGCCCTTCTGATTCTAAATCTTTAGAGAATGGTGTTTGAGATTTTCCTTTTGGACCGCAGCTTCTAGGATAATCCCGGATAGCCAAGACACCTTCCCGGGGTGCATAACCTGTAGGCATGGACTCAGACACAACTTCCTCAGGTAATTCTGTAGCCTCATGATCTGAAGTTTCCGACTGGTCAACCGGGCTTGGGGTATCCAAAGCCTGTGACACATCTTTTCCTTTAACTTCCGCTAAGGAAACTGATTCAAGCGCATCGTCAAATAAAGAAACCACTGAGTCCTCAGATTCTGAATCGTACAGTGAGCTAGAGCTAGGCGACTCTGATTGAACTAAGTGTTGAGAGGATTGAGTTGCAAATCTTCCCCTTGGACTGCAGCCCTTAGGGTAGTGACGAAAAACAGGTATCAGCCGCATCTTGTAGCAAATAACAGTTTCAGAACAAATACATTCAGCTTTTCTTTTCATCTGTCAATTGAAACTTTTCTTCGGAATAACCTTGTTTGATTTGCGAGACCAATGTCGGTTCTTGGTAATTTGAACACTGGTACATCAAAATGGAAAATTGATACGAATATATCGATAAAACACATAAAAACAGAGAAAGAAAGGCATTTACCAAAAAATAAACTTGAAAAGGAGGAGAGAATAGAATAAACGACTTACCCTTAGGCTTAGGGGTCGAACGAGAAAAGGAGTCGGTGATGAACGCAAACGAAAACCCGGAAACACTAAACGATTGCCCCTTTTAAGAATCCTTTGCTTAGTTTTCTTGCGTTGGAAGGAAAGGGGCAGGAGACTTCCGTTCGTTAGGAGAGAGATTTGCCCTTGGAAGGCTTGCTGTAATTGTAACTACCGAAAGGCGGTGTAAAATTTTAATTATGCGTTTTATTTTTTTCTTTATTTCTAAAACAAAACTTGCCCGCTGATGTCCTAAAGTCAAAAGGAAAACAATACATAAGACGATACAGTTAAACCTTATATATTAATACATTGAGATTATGAAAATTATTAATTAATTAAAATATTATTTAATCAATAAATTAATTTATTAATTTATACATCAGTTAATAAAAAATTAATTTATTAACATATATTTTTTTATTTTTTTTAAAACATTGAACTTAATATATGTATTATACGTAATTTTCTTTTACAATACTAGATTATATATTAGAGTTCCTTAACGTACTAAGAAAAATTAGAAATAAAGTTATTAACATTGGAGTTTTATTTTTCAAAGGTTTCTAATTGAGTCGTGTATATATATAATTAATAGTTTTAATGTATAAGGAAATTATGAATTTATATATCAAGTGGGACGTATGTATTTTTTGAAAATGTAATTATCTTATAAATTTAATAAATTATTAATTGATCACATTGATCTCAAGTCGAGATCGATAAAAAATATTATTTAATCAAGATTATTAATTTATAAAAGTTATATTATATGTCTCTCCTTTCAATTGTCGAAATACATTTTTAGGGATTATATAAAAAATTATATAGGACATGAAATAATTTTCAAGAAAATGTTGTTCTGTATTTGTTGTCCAAAGTAACACCACATTTTGTATTTCACAAATTGGAATTTTCTCCATGCTGGCAGCAAACAACACTCATGCTTGGATCCACTGCCCAAAAGAGATTAATTGCCTTGATCTTGTGTGTCAACTTTCATGCATCTGTTATGTTGCTCAGACTCATCTTTTAAACAGGAGTGTGTTCAAGTTTTTCCACATTTTTCCTTATATTTAGAGAGCCATGCTCGTGCCTCCATATCCATACCCATTTTGAGGTGTTGTTCTATATGTACTTATGATAGACTCATGCTTGAAATTGCAAGACATTGAGAACGTAAAGTTATCTTATGCTTTGTCGAATTTTCCTAATGTAATTGATTTATTGGATCATATGTAATTTGATCTCACAGGTGCTGATTTGAGTGACACATTGATGGATCGCATGGTAAAGTTTTCCAAACCCTGGTGCTGATTCCTGGACCAATTAATTTTGATGGTTGTTACGTTTGCTAATGAACAGGGATTGTGTTGTTATGCACCCTGGCAGAGAATTGCTTGCTACTTAAACGTTTAAAGTTAGGGGATGAAACCCCAGATTACTTTTAGTTTATAGAAAGTCTAGCTTCAAATACAGACTTCATTTTGCTTCAGGTTCTCAATGAGGCTAATTTTACAAATGCTGTGCTAGTAAGATCCGTCCTCACCCGAAGTGATCTAGGGGGTGCCCTGATTGAAGGCGCTGATTTCAGTGATGCTGTTATTGATCTTCCTCAGAAGCAGGTATGCATATTCACACGCACTCCTTGGGTTCGGATTTCAGCTTTAAGGTGTCCCTGTTCCCAGGCTTGTTTGTAGTTCTTCTCTCTGACATTGTTTTGTTTCCCTATGTGCTATAGCCTCCAGTGATTAACTCAATATCTGTAGTAGCGGAAGGCACCAATCAATATTAAACTTGGCTCTGCCCTGAAAACAGGGCACGTAAGATGTAATTGATCAGTTAAAAATGTAGGGGACATAAAGTTTACATCAATCTGTCATCACCAAGCCCTCATAGATGATTCCATGGCATTCAATTTGCGTCATGCAAGATAGTTAATTTGCTCAAGTTCAAAGAACAATAAAGAATAGTAGTAAAGCTCTAAAAAATTGCAATATCGAATCTAAATCTAAATTTATCGTTCAGATAGTTCATATGCTTTTTGTCTATGTGTACAGAAAAGCTTTTTCCTGTGTCTCAGTCAGCTCAAAAATTGCACCTGCTTGTGGTTTCACTTGTAGTAAAGCAGAATTAATGCACTTACTTCCGTACTATAAAGTATCAGCGGTGAGTTGAATTACTAACTAAAAAGACTTTTGTAACATGGTGTCAACTTTAGAAGTTCACCCATATTATATCTTGTCAACTAAGGTGGTACCCTGCCTTCTGCGTTTATTGACTCCATAACTATCTGCATATATTAACCAGTGGCCATGAACAGCTAAAATTAATATTTGCTTCTTCCTGTGAGCAAGCCATTAAGATTTGCAAGACCCAACAGGCATTACCATGACGGCAGGTTATTTCGCAAGTATGTAATCACCTGCCTTGTCATTCTCAGTCTTACCCCTTATTCACTGTTCATGTGGTTGCCAAACTGCAACCCTCCCCCAGATATTGATTAGAACAACTTAAGATGTAGGAGAGCAGTGTGCTTTGGCTACCAACACACAGTTCCAAAGGCAAATTGTCTGGTCACTTGAGGTTTCTAAGTTATTGTCTGGCCTGGGAAGTGTCTGTCATAAATGTTTTACTAGTATTTTACTCAGTGTGTCACGCTAGGGAATTTAGGCACCAGAATAAGCTGAATGCTTCACCATCCCTTAATGTTTTGGCAGCATACATTATTGCTGAATGCTTCATTTATTTGCCATAATCGTAGTGTTAGATACAAAGTAGTATATATATAGTTGAGTCCATTAATGTTTTGGCAGCATACATTATTGCATCGTAGTTTATCGGACTATTGCTTTTACAAAGTCCATGAAACTGATACCTCACTATTGCGTATATAATGGAAGGATAGTCATGGCCCTGTAGAGATCTTGTCATGAACATTGCAATGCAACCTGACTTATCGCTTGTACCAGTCTGGCCATATAAGCAAGGGGCTTTTCTTCTCTTGATGTGTGAGAGGTAGGTCATGAAGCTAGGGTGCCTAGATAATTAGCAGGCACTGCAATATCAGATTCATGGTCAAATTTCCCAGCTGTCCTGTGTAGGGACATGGCTTTTTTTTTTTTTTTTGTCTTTAACAAACTTTCATCTAAGTTTAGAAGCATTCCTCAGACTAAGACCTGTAAAAGATTCCTTCTCTAGTAAATTAGACAGTATTTTATGGTGACGTTTTTTCTTTCTGTACAAGTTCTATTTTGTTATCTTTTCAGGTTCGAAATCTATAAGGAAGCATCTATGGCAATTAGAGCACCCGCAAAAATTTTAACCTCAGTGCTCCATTTGATGCTTATCTACTTGCAAAACTTGGAAGTATTTCTAATATTCAATAGCTTTGTGAATATCTAAGCTGCAATAAATGCTTTTTGTCAATTTTGCTGCCATAAGGGCTCTGTTCATGTGAGCATATATCAAGCATATGAACCTGCAACTGTAAGGCAAGGATGTTAAAGCCCTAAACTGTAGAGAAAGAAAGCTAGGACGCTCAAAAGTCATGGATATTATTAATTTAAGTAGGCTGCATTTCCAGAATCGGATCTGTATTCATAGTTCCGAAAGTTTTTGAGCTTCATTTATGTTTTTAATGCTGGCCTAAATTGTAGTCTTCACTGCTTTAAGCAGATCCCTAAAATGAGCATCAAGTTTGCATCTCTTTCATAATTTTACTTATTATCTTTGTTGATTCACTCACACTCCGATTCCACATACTCTTGAGGTCCTTTTATTTCTTCCAAATAATTGTTGCATTTGTTTATGTAGGCTCTCTGCAAGTACGCAAATGGCAAAAATCCAATCACTGGGGTAAGCACCAGAGCAAGTTTAGGTTGTGGAAACAGCCGGCGGAATGCTTATGGCTCCCCTTCTTCTCCTCTGTTGAGTGCTCCACCTCAAAAATTGCTTGATCGGGATGGTTTCTGTGACAAAGATACTGGCCTTTGTGAAGCAAAATAATTCTAAACCCTTGTAGTAACCATACCAAATGACATCTCATAGGCACATTGATGATGCAGGATAAAGGAGTGCGAGAACAGAACATGTATTACTCTCCTTATCACTTCTGGATAAACAGCAAATTTGAGAATCTTTACCATATATTCTTTTTCAAGCGTCAGTGATCTATGACCACTCTGAATCACTAATAAAGGATGGATTAAAGGAAATCAATACAATCACATTGCTTTAAGTGATTTGCACTGATCCAAACATGGCTGGCACTCAATAATAGATGAAATCCTTCACATGTGCTCAATTATGTCGCTATGTGAAGTGACAGTGTGGATTAAGTTTTGGTGTCTCATATGATGTTTCTGCAGAAATAGCTTATGATTTGTTATCAACGACATGCCAGGTTGACTTCAAACCTGGAATTTGGGGTTAGATTTTGCAATAATTATGTTGTTAATTCCTTAGATTTGTAATTATGTAGCAGTCATTGACATTTTGGAGTAATGTCAAGCCATTACAGCTAATGGCTACCTGGATAGTCCTAGAGATCTAAAGGGTCATTGATGCAACAAAAAACTGTTCTCATAAACATCAAAATTCTGAACCCTGCATCCAGTTGTCAGAAACTGTAGACTTCCTCGATTGCCTGAAGACAGGAGGAGATCTAAAATGATTTCATTACTGTACATATGAATCATCTATGAATGAAGTGTTATTTCTGTCTCAAATGTTATGCCATCAACTCCACAGTCATTCTTCATAAAATCGCCTAATCGCCCGTTAAAACAACGCAAAGAAGGATACAACTTGTTACACCAATGAATCTAAGAGTTGGCTTAAAGACTGTCAAACAAATAGTTTAAAAAGGCCAAAAATGGGTCATGGCAGACATAAGCATGCAATCATTTTGCCTCCGCACTCCTACCTTTTCCCCCTGTCGTCAATTTGTTCCTTCACATTCCCTCTATGATTGCGGGAAGGTCACCTCTCATCTGAGTGGACCATTGGAGAGAATCTACCTTATCACACCCATCTGAATGTTCTGGTAACTTGGAAGCGTGCATTTCAAGCAAGACTAGGCCCTAAAAATGTCAGCAGAACATATACTTTCATTTGTAGAAATAGTCTTTTTTTTTTTTTTTCATTTTTGATAAAAGCCCTACTTTCTCTTCCAAACATTTTATTTGATGTTCGGTTGGGTTACTTGATGGGTTCATCTTCAGATAAATTAGAAAAAAAGGAAAAAGAACAAAAGCGTAAATATATAGAAAGTATTTTTTGTTAATTCTAAAATAGACATTTCCCCATTAATAGAGAGGAAGAAAATTGAGCTTTGTCTTTAACGAAAACTTCTAACTCTATATAGGGGCTTTGAGTTGATTGGAGCACGGGTTGTGGACTTCAAGTCCAATTCTCGATAATAGAGGATCATGCGAATTCAGAACAGAGCAACTAATCAATATAACATTGAAAGAGAATCCAGAATTATAAACTTATTCAATCGATGAAAGCCAATTAATTACCTTTATAACAATCCAAAGAACGATAGTATTATTTTGTTGAATTGGTGCGTTCCACATAAACCTTAATTTAAGACCATAAAACTTAAATTTTAAAAAACTCAAAAGGTCAAAGCGAGTCATGCATATTAATATATGCATGCAAACCAATCATTAGGGTTGCACTGCTTTCTTATACATTATACTACAGCCAAAATCTGTTCCATCTTATGCTTTTTTGTAGTGGTTGGATGGTCATCTACCTTGTCACTGCCCATCTGAATGTTCTAATCTACAGTGTGCACCTTAATTAGGCAAGACTAGTCTTCCCAAAACAGTTTAGAAACAGTGGATTCAATTTTGGTGGACCAGTCTTTCCCTGCTCCCAAGTCAAGCATAGACCCGTCATTAAAGAAATCAATCAAGTTGCTTGCACTGTACTTTTTCTTCTTTGTTTTATGGGTGGACCAGGAGACAGCACCCCAAACAAAGATGAGCTCGACATCCATAAATGAACGAAGGATTGCTTGTTCCCTTTATCGCTAACTCTCAAGTGTTACCAATCAGGGTATGCTCCCTTTTAGCTTGTCATTATCTGTCTCTTTGTCATCCTTGTGCTTCAGTAAAACCTTTCATGGCATGACATTCACACTAACCCTATCAGCCAGAACTATCAATGTGCTGCTACTAATTTCAATACAGGGAGAACGATATTAATTTCAACAAGCATTCGATTAATTATGATTACCATACAACCTACGTAACCGTTGGGTGAAACATACTGTCACATTTTCTTTCAGTAAATACGTTCTGCCAGTACATACCAACATACGGTACATTGCATAAACTATTCCTTGATTAGTGCCAATCATTGACTAAGTTAACTGTTTTCAATAAATGTAATCCTAGTTTTAAAACAATATGTCTGCACATGTGTGAAGGATACACCATCTATATATATGGAGTTTTGCATTTTTTTTCCGTCAAATACCTTCTGAAATGACACTAACATTGTAGCTGATAACAAAGTGGCTGTATTATAACAAGGAGTTGATTCTACATCGTCAAACTAATTCAGATATTTGTAGCAATATATATATATATATTAATATTACTTAAGCTTTAATCTTCCTACCTATATAGTAACCTGAACTAAAGACAAGTGATCTAATCATTTCACCGCCAGTCTAAACTTGTGCAGGTTGGGTAGCTGTCAAATCTTTGCCATGTTATGCTATTTTTGATGTGTAACTCAAGAAGCCAAATTTGTCAAAGCAAAATAAAAAGAATTGTCTGAAAAGGTTAGTTACACAGGTTTTAAAACCTACTCATATCATGAGCCTGCTCAAGCACCCAAGCTAGGGGCGGATTCTGACAGCATAGTCCGAGAGTTTCAAATTAAAAAATGAAAAATATAAGAGCTTACTGCTTAGAGACTTTTTAAAACATTTTTTATTCTCACAGAATGTCAGCAATCCTAAAGATATTATGACTAATTGAGACATAAAAATGGATTAAGTACAAGTCCGGACTCCGGCAACTGTGGAGGTTTGGGATTTGGGAAACTAACGAAGCACTCTAATAATGGTGCCTCACATGGGGTTTTTGTTTTCACATGGTCAATGATGTTATCTTACTTAGTCTGCAAACAACATTTTTAATGAACCCTAATTATTCAGTCACACCTATATGCATCAATGTGCGCATGGTGTTGCTTGCTATGGGCTTTGGCAGGCACAGAATTAGGCCACCCTCTCTCTCTTATTCTCACACTGGTTGAGAGAAAATGAATGGTAATTCTTCTGTTTCTTTTATCACAAGTGAACACAGAGAGAGAGGAAGCCATGAATTCAGAGAGTGCAAAGGAAACCCTAAGGAGAAATGACTAAACCTTCACGTCAAACTTAGTCAGAAAGAAGCACTTTCTCTAAGCTTTTTAGCATCATTCTTCTTCCAATGAGGAATGCTTCGGCTAAGCATGCCTAGCTCTCTACAAGGAAGAATTGTTTCATTATGAGTCCATGAGAGCACGCCCAATGATGATGTCGCTTGGAAAATTTTCATTGCTTTAAAGGGATTTTCATGCTTGACTTCAACCCAAGTAAGAGGATGTTCTCCAAATGAATAACAATCAAAGAATTGTAGTACTTTTGCCGGTTAGTCCTATATTATTCCCTTTTTTTTTTTGCTCAGCCTATGTTATTCATTATTACTAGATTCCTAAAGTATGTTTCCCTTTCCTCCTGGTATTTAAACCAAGCAGGTGAAATTTCAAAACAGACTTCACGCGGTCAATTGCAGACACCCCAGCCCCTCCTCCCTTGATAATTCTTAGATCAATGCTCCTGCAATTTTGCAACCTGGCAGGTATCGTCAAGGCCTGAGCTGGGCGACTGATGGTGACGAAATCTATATCAATCTATGTTGAGCCACAAGTTTAATGACATTTTCCATGTCAAATATCTCTCTTATCCAGTTGCTTCGTGGTATTTCCAGTCTAAATATAGCTGAAATTTGAGACATATGAGAGGGCTGAAGCCTGCAGTTTCCTATACATATGCCTCCCTATCTCATATGTTATCAAGTTCAACTTTTTTGCAAAAGGACTTTGTTTGAGCAAACAAAGACTTTTTTGCAGAAGGATCTAACGAGTCTGCTAATCTTAAGGAGATAGAACTTCTGGCTGCCTCCATCTTAATTCATCTTCTTGACCAGGTATGTAGCTACTCCAAAGGTATCCTGGTAGTAAAAATTCCAACAAAGATTTATTCTGAAAGAAAAACATTTGTCAATCTTTTTGTACTTCTCCTTCACTTTCTGTGAACAGAGAATGACTCATTAAGTATTAGCATCTAAATTCTTTGTCCTGCGGTTGGGAAGTAATTACAACGAGTTTTTACATTAAAATGCATCTCACATTTGCTGTTGATGTCCTCCATTATCTTTCTTGTCTTAGCGCTTTCAACTATGTATGTAATTACTACAACCATTTTAATTGAAACAGTTGATGCATTTGGGTAGTGGATGACCATAATTTTGCTTTGTGCTTCGCTTTCGTCATAGCATACACCATTTTTAACTCATTATCAAGTACATGCATTTCCAGTAGGACTGCTATAGCTAGCATGCCATTTTGCTCTTTTCCATTTTCATAACTCTGAGTTGCTGGCACTGAACTTATCTTAATTCGACTAATTAGTTCAATGTTAAGGAATGAACTTAATACAAGGTTCATTTTAACTGCTTGTGCTGCAAAAATACTATTCTTATTAGCATGCATATTCATATTTGCAGCATGATTGGTCTCAAAGTAGAGCATTTAAACTGCGTAGTAGTAGTCGGCTTAAATTACTCTATATTAAGAACCCTCTAGCTCAATACTTGTTGTTTCTTCACCACATGTTGCCTGATTCCCTCTCCTTGCTCAAAGTCGATTGATATTTTCCTGGATCTTCCAACCACACTACTGATATCACTCCACCTGGTTTGAAATGATAGGGATATCCCTTTAGAACATCCTTGTCATATTGCAGATTAGAGGCAGTTTTTATGTGCTCCTGCATCAACTCGAAAAAAGAACTTTACAATAATATTTCAAATTAAGATTGGAGTCTGGTCGTCAAATGCTGAAAACAAATGCAACTTGTGTGATTAACAACACAAAGATGCTACCTAGCTTGTGAGGTTGAAAAATTTTTCTTTCAAGATCAGTTTTCTTTTAAAACAGAATCTCAGCCAAACATCAAATTTTCTTTTAAAGTATTCCAACAGTTATAAAAAAACAAACGTACATTGATTATCAAACTTTTTATCAAAGGGATTGACTTACACTGCATAGTTCTTAACCAAAAGGATAAACTTTGTGTATTTGAAACTTTATGGAACAAAGATGAAACAGTTAAAAAAAACAACTTCATCAATGGGGATGAGAAGAGAAATCTGTTACAACATTTGCAGAAGCTATATCAAGTTGACAGCATAAATGATCTAAGAAGAAAAAAGATTATAATAAAGAAACCCTTGACATGTATATTAAGGTGCAATACGGAAAAATACATTCAATATTAGGCCGAGTCAGTCCCAAAGAGCACTCGACCATAGTCCACCTAAGAGTACTAATTTATTTGTACTTTCATAAAGTCCAATATCTAATAACTAGATGCCTAGTATTAATCAATACAAATTAAGGACAGCATAAGTCCCATAGCTAATGCAATACCATTATAGTTTTATTATGTACAGCAACCTGGATTGAAGGCTTCTTTTCTTATAAGTGTACTTCCTATAATTAGTATGTATGCTCTCTAATTGCTAGAATATGCTTTCACTTCCACAGATCAATTTGACAACTCGAAGTGGATGTGGAGGCATATTCCTGATGAGCAATTTCTGGCCTTTTGGATTCATTGGCTATCAAATTCATTTGCTCAGCCACATGAAGGCTGGCGGCTGCATCGGGATAATTGTTTTCCTTGGAAGCTTCCTCATGACTGAGCTGAGAGGCAACAAATTTGTCAAGAACTCGCCAATCTGTCACTTGATCCACTGCTTGTTCACTGTTGTTATAAAGCGAGTTAAGATTTTGCTGATGCCCTGGCTGCATGTGCTCTTCTTGTGTGAGGGTTGAGGACTGCAAAGTGCTTCCATTGTTCCTGTCATAACCGTAAGGAACAACTGAGTTGCAGCTTACACTTGCAGCAGATTGTGGAACTTTGGGACTTTCCAACTGAGGAAGCTGAAGGAAAGGGTCATGAGGCAGATTGTATTGCAACTCAAGCTCTTGCTTGCAGGGATAATGGTGATGGTATGATGCATAAGGCTGAGGAATTCGCCTTGGGGAATCAAGATCCTGCATAAATGAGACCTGGTCATCGTACCAACATGAAGAATCATATTCACCAACTTTTCGTACTGTTGTCATTCGCTTCTTGAACACCCTACAAACCACCCATCCTTCTTCCTGTGGAATAACAAAGACATCAAATTAGTCATAACTATAAAAACTTCACTGAGATCGCATGCCTGTCTGCATGCTTGTACATATGTGTATGAAAATGTGCACCGATGGAAGTGCACCAAATGTTTGCAAACTTGGAAAAAGAATAAAAAACATAAATGCCTTCTAGCATTACTTGTGAAAAAGAGTTAGATGTTTATAATGATAAAATCGAATTTAGAATATCTCATGGAAGAGACAGGTATCACAAGCATGTGTGTGTGTGTGTATGTTTTTTTAACCGAATACTTGCTTTGCTTAGAATCTTTAACATGATATATAGAAAACCATATTCAGGGCAAGTATTCGGGCTGTTGAGAGGCAGTTGTTTATTTATTTATTTTATAATTTGGGAAGGGAAAGGCTAAAACTGATGTTAGGATGAAAGAAAGATGTTCCTGATAAAAGTGAATTGTGTCTTACATATACTACAAAATCATGTCTTCAAATCTAATTAGTTTGTTGCTGAGAATGCATAACTCCGATTTGCTGAAAACCATTTCACTGTTATGTCTAAATTAATGATAAAGTAAAACAAAATCCATTTTTTTTGCAGAAATAAAACAGTCAATACTTGCCTGAGGAGTTCCATTTTCATTTGTTTCTAGTCGATACTCATGCATGATCCAATCTGATTTTTGTCCATTCGGGGCTCGTCCTTTGTAAAAGACTAGGGTTTTTCTCATGCCAATAAGGCTAAGCCTGGAGTAAATAGCCTTGTCTCTTCCCGTAGCTTTCCAAAACCCTGCTTTTGTTGCTCTATTAGTGCGAGTACCTGTTGGATACTTCTTATCTTTGTGGCTAAAGAAGTACCATTCATTCTGCTCTTCAGTTCCTATTCTGCACAATTCTATCCAAACGAATACGAATAATCAACATCAGTGGCTAATCAAATAATTTAGTCAGTGCAAAAGAAGTTTTTTTTTTTTTGGTTCTTTTAAATGCATTTACCAGAAATAAAGAGAGAAAAATGGGAATATTTCTACCTTGCAGATCCCACGGTTCAATTTTATAAAGATCGACATCTTTGATGACATCCAGATCTATCCTTTTTGAAGCAACCTTTTTCCTGAGGTAGTAGTCTACAAGTTCTTCATCTGTGGGATGGAACCTAAAGCCTGGGGGAACGTGTGAAAAGGTATTCATATTCTTCCGAAGAAACACTCAAAACCTGCATCAATGTGCCACATTATCAGCAATATGTTTAGAAGCATGAAAAGATAAAAAAAATTCTTTTTCTTTACAAATAAACAGTAATGTAAAGAGTAAATCAAAGTTATGAATCATGGGAGAATTATCATGTAAGTGAATAATACAATTCAATACTAAATAGTAAATTATGAAGAAACACACAGCATTGATATGGTGTCAATATATGGATCTAAAAGAAATTTAATTGAGGAGTCCCTTAATATTCAGAATACTTCTTCTGACTAATTAGGGTTTAAACAAAAGTTATTAATATAGACAGACAAACTAGACATTACTATTGCATGTTTAGAGCACCTGGCCGACAATTTAAGGGAAGGTTAAATGTCTTTACATTGGAAGCAAATAAAGTATTATTAATCATTATCTCTAGTAAACAACAGTTACTACTTTTGGTTTCCTTGGCATGAAAATGTTATCCAACATAGTTATGAAGCAAACAATCACGCTGAATTCCATCTTTTATTGCAGTATGTAGTACTGATCATACATTAACAAACACCATATGCTGATCTATGCATACAATACACTATTATATTTGCCTCATGATAAATGTTAGGTCAACCAAAAATAGTCTATATATATATATCAATTCCAAGAAAAAAGAGTGGATGCAAAAAATATTATTTGGATAATGTCTAATTCAAGACAAGAGTTTAGTCACCAAATTACAAGAAAAAAAAACAAAAAAAATTATTATATCTAATAATGATTAAGTTGGATGTACTTCTAAGACAAGTTTTCTCAGATGGAAAAAGCTATCATTTCTGATACTTAACCTTTCTATTGCACAATATCATACTAAGTTTTAGCTGCATATCGAAAAGTAGGCTGCAAAATTCTCATGCTGCTCCCTATCACTACACCATAAAAAGCATCCCATATGCATACATTGACTAAAACCCAGGCTTTTATCTTATTGTATTACATGGAGATAGATCGAGTCTAGGATATAAAGAGTCTCTAGAATAGTATAACAAAGCATGCTTTTAATTCATTAATCCAGTCTCTTCTTCGTTCTCCTACAAAAATTAGGGTAAATTAGCTCCAGATTGTTATTTAATTTTGGATTCTGTATAAACGAGAATATAGGACTTACATTGCTTAATGTGAAAGTTGTAAAGAATTGATACAAGTAATATGTGATATTTGATCTGGAAGAAACCCCGGAAAAGTATAGAAACAAGGGATAAAACTGTTGAGAAATTGAGAAAAATAAAAATAAACACTTCATACTCATAAAAACCATGGCTATTTGTTCATGAGTTTTAACTAATACACTAAAGAAATTAAAATGTGCAATATAAAACTAAAGTTTTCTTGTTTCAGCTAATATGTTATATGAATGAAGAGTAGATAAACAATAAAGTGTTTCTCCACCCATAAAAGTGAATTGTAGATGGGTATAGGGAATCAAATTTTAGAATCTTTAGTAATTGTTTAAGAATTGACAAGAATATTGTAGTGCAACATACAAATATAAGATGATATTATATGAAATCTCCAAAGTTGATTTCAAAGGATGATATTAATACTAAGAAGAAGAAGAAGAAGAAGATGCTAGTAGAACAAAGAACAATGATGCATAAAACTTTTAATGATTCTTCTGTTTTCTATTATAATTTGGAATAGACAATTCCATGTCCCCCATAACACTAGAAAATGTTCTTGGAGCTAGCATGTAAGTCATATAAAATGAGATCTAACCTCAGCCATCTCAAAACTATAAAAAGTTAAACATGTGATATAGAAAACGAGAATCCTCTAGTTGTGATCCCTCAAAAGAAAAGACAAGCAACATTCCTCAATGGCAAAGGAAAGAAAAGAAGATTAAAAATGTAGCTAGAGAACTCGAAAAACCTAAGAAATATAATGAAGAAAAAACGAAGACCTTAGCCCCTTGCATAAATATATCACCAAATAATAAAAACAAACGGAATAAAGAAGAACATACTTGGGATCCATCAAGCAAGTATATATATACATGGGAACTAATACATCCAGATCAAACTGAAGCCATGTTGAGCTAAAAAGCAATCTTGAAGAACTGATCCAATAGTGAAAGACATGATCATATCTTATGTAGTTTCATTATTTCATTAACTTAGCGTATGTCAAAAGCATCCTCCACTTCGTCATTTCTAACCTTAGGAAATGATCACACAAAACACATTCAAAAAAAGAATAAACTAAACAAGGAAAAAGGAGAAGGAAACAACAAAGCAAGAAGGAGAAGAAGCAGAAAGAACGAAAGAAGGAAAGAGGAATAGAGAAGCTCACGATAACACAACCTTGATAATTGTCTAGAGCCCCACCCTATCCAACTCAAACTGGTTAATCCTCAGATCTGATTGAAAACCAGCCTCGTGTGTGCGCCAAATCAACTTAAAGCTAGGAAACTTTAAGCTAACTTTTTTGTTCACTCTCTTATAACCTTTACAAGGTCACTGTGAACCAGACAAAAAAACACAGAAAGAAAGGCGAGAGTCGCGACAGACGAAACAAAAGAAAGAAAGCAAGAAAGGTGGATGTAATGAAAAGTTATAACCCTCGGAATTGAACTGATACCCCCCGACCCCTAACACTTTATAAGTCCCAAGAACTTGTCCACTAGTTGTCGGAAGGGGAAGAAGGAGATCAGATCCCAAGGAAGGGAAGGGAAGGGAAGGGGAAAAGAAAGGGTGAGGAATGGGAAAAGAGAGAAGAGATAGGGTTAAATAAGAAGCTAAGGGAAATGAAAATGAGTAGTGCCAAGGAACACACACATGCCCTAATAATCTATCCCTCTCAAAATTCTCTTTCTCTCTCTCTCTCTCTGTCTATCCCTTTTTTTTTTTAATAATCTTTTCAGTGGAAGCTTGATTGCTGGAAAAGCCTTGCGCGTAAAAAGGAGGCGGATAATGGTTTCAAGGAAGATTGAGAGCGAGTGTTCTTGAGAGAGATATGTATGTAATAGTATTACAATTACAAAAAGAAAGAGAGAGAGGCGGCAACCTCCAATGCCACCCACCAGCTACTGATAAAGACCAGAAGAGTGTTTAATTTGCTCCTTTTTTTTTCAGAGAAAGAGAAAGTGAAGATGTCATCAGATGATCCGACGGCAAAGATTTATTGGGCAGCTCTAAAGGCCTTCGAGAAGTCAAAAAAAAAAAAAAAAGGGGGTTGCTTTCATTTTCTCTTTTGTTCGAGACATGATCTGCAGCCCTCTATATTCTTTCTTCTTCTTCTTTTTTTAATATATATTTATAATTTTAAAGGGATTAAAAAAGAAAGATAGAAAAAGAGATTTGCATTGATGAATAAGAGGTACAAATATATTGATGATATTTTTGGTGGTGGAGAGCTAAGGTGGTACGTAGTAATCCCGCCAAAAGTTACACAAACCTTCCATCTCTCACTCTATTACTTGTTTCTTTCTAGCTTTTTTTAATTTACTACTGTAAGAGAAATTTTCTTTTCTTTTCTCTTCCTCTTCTTTTCTTTTTGTCCACCGCGTGATGTACACCATCAGATTCATAATAATAGCAGGAATATTACCCTTCCTTCAAGAATATCTACATGGTCACTGCTAACAGGTGCATATGGATAAGGGTTTTCACTTTTCAGCCTTTTATCTCTTCTCTTTTTATTGCTTATCGATCTCCTCTCATTTTTGGGTTGTTTAGATTTAAAACCAGCATTTAATTAGATCACAAATTGTAAAGGAAATCAAAACATCATAATATACTGGAAAGGTCTTATATTGGAATTATGTAAAGAGGAAATGAGAGAAAGTTATCTTCATATTGTACGTTGAAGAATTTTTACATGTACCAAGAAAAAAAGCTTATTCCAATAAATTTATTATCATAAACACAATTAAGAGGATAATATTTTGATAGCTTTTGTTTGTTCATGTCACATTTTTTTTTGTCAAGTTATTACAGTTTTTGCATTTCAAATGTGAAAAATATATTTACTCAATCCCTTACTTTAATTCACCATAATATCTTGAATTTATTATGCGCATTTGTAAAAATGCTCCCTCTCTTTCATTACTTTTTATTGATTTTTTAATTAAACGAATTCAATTTTAACCATTAGTTTTAATAAAATCACAAAATTATAAAAGTTTTATAATAAAAGTTATAATTTCGAATTTTAAGCTTTTCGAAACTTATTTTTAAAAAATTTTTAAAAATAAAATCAAAAGTTGAATCTATTTAACCAAAATAATCAAATAAAGACAGATATAGAGGAATGTATTTGTCAGTCTAAATTCAACTTTCCTACAAGGCGAAGGAATGTATCGAGAAAACCAAGAAACATGTAGCAAAGCAACCTCCATGGTTTTCTCTTTATATATAAAAAACAAATTCCAAAACGACCAAAAGCTCAAAACGAAACATTAAAAAACTGAAAAAGTGCAAATATTTTAATGACCTGAAAATAATACAGCTGAGAAAAGCCTTTTTAAGGTTGGGTAAATAATATAGTCTCAAAAAGCCCCTCACCAGCAACTGCACGCGATGCGAGCCTCCCTGGTTGGTTGGTCTGCACTTTTTTTATTCTATATATCTACTAATCTTTAATTAATTTTATCTCTTGTAAGTTTTACCAAGCGTCACGACCTGACCCCACGAACCGACCCGATACATGTCAGATGGTGACACTTCTCCAAATTATGCATTTATAATAATATCGGAATTTCTTTTATTTCTCTCGGCTAAGCCCCCGAGTCAAAGCCACATGAGCCGAGATGAAAGTACAAGACAAGGATATTATTGCATACAGTATTGATGAAACAAATGTAAAATAAAAAAAAATTACTACCGTAAAGTTTCTACATTTTATACTCTTACTACTTGCTTACTTAAATTAAATACATTATTTTTTAAATTTAAATTTGGTATATATATTTTTTCATTAGATTTTATCAGTAAGTTACTGGGATAATTAATTCCTATGTAACAAAGAAAATTAGCCCATTTTGTAGTATATTTTTAATTTTTTATAGGATAGTGGGGAGTGGTGCCCCACAAAACAGAACATGTCGGGGCTCAGGGACATGGCGGCTAATGGTCCGGCGTGAACTAGCCCACGATCATTAGGCTCACGATTACGGGTTGCTGGGTTGCAGGCCGGTTCTTTCAAGTGGGCCCCACGCAGTTATCCCAATCTGGGGCCCACATTTTCTGTGGACCTCTCTCTCTTTTGTTTTTGTTCTTGTTCTTTTTGGTGGTTATTTTCGCTCTTCGTTAAGTTTGTTTTGTTTACGCAGTGCTTGTGCTTGCAGATAAGTAAAAAAAGGAAAATGTATATCTTTTATGTACAAATGTGTGGTTTTTCCATCGTCTCGGGCATTGCCTGGGGTTGAGGATTGCATTAAAATTTAGCAAGTGTTTGTGTGTATTTTTTGCTTTGTTTGTTTTGTTGGGACATAGTATAGAAGTGAAGCAAAAGTCTCTAACGTTATCCAAGTGTCATCTTGACCCCGCATTGCTTGCTTGGCGTTGGACTATTCGACCCTCAAAGGTCTAGATGGACTTCATCATTTCTAATTATTTTCTTCACTTTATTTTATTATTAGGTTACAAATATTGGACAACGCTCTGTGAAAATTGCTACTACTACTTACTTTGTTCAAATGATGAATTTCATTTGAATAATTTTGGGATATTATTATATAAAGTTTAGGGTTTCAAATTATATTTGATCAATTTGTTTTACTAGGAAAGTATCTCTTAATTAACAACAAGTAAGAAAAAGAGAAGAACGCAAGGGATGTGTTTGGATGGAATGGGCTTTTCAAAGAGTGGATTGAAAAAATGTTATTTTAGTATAAACTTATTGGTGGGAAGTTTGATCATCACAAAAGCAAACAAGGGTGGACCAAGAACTGGCCAAATAAAAAAATTGTGTTCTCAAGCCTGTCCACTTGGTTCAACATATGACATTTCGAATGTACAAGAACACTAACAACTTGTTCATTATTTAATGAAAAGAAATGGGTTTGGTTAGGCCAGAGTACGGATCAGAAAATGTTAGCAAAGACACCTCTGTATTCTTTTCTACATTGTTGTGTTGCCGATTGGAAATCAACAATTAATTTTGGTTTTTGGTTTTTGTTTTTGTTGCATTGCAAATAAATGAAATGCTAAGGTTTTTTAATGAGAAAAAAGTTAGTCACAGCAAAGGGGGGTGAGCTGAATCCCAACCAGAGGTGGGGTCTCTTTTAATCATTGCTGATGGAAACCCATTATTGTTTTGGTTCCCCACGTTTAACCCTGGGAATGGGCAGCTCCTCAAAAAAGGCCTAATTAAATTTGGGGAAAAAGGTTTCCATGTCCCTTCTCCATTGTCCTCAACTGTTATGTCCACCAGATAAGGGCTTCTTTCTCACATTTACTCAGTATTCAGTTCCTTCTTCTTCTTCTTCTTAAAGAAAAAGCTCTTCCTCACCGTAGTGAGCTCCTATTGGTCACCGACTAAATTTAGAAAAGTTACAATAGTATACTATAGTTTGTAAGGATTAAGTTCATGTCAACTTAACTGTCATTTGAATTGAAATATATTAGAAATGGTTATTTTAGATATAAATATATGTTAAAATTTATAAGGGAAACCCCCTTCTATCTGTTGCTTAAACTACCTCTAAGTCAAATATGTATGCATTTGAGGATCCCAAACCAGAGAACAAGCACACACACGCGCACACACACACACACTGCTCTAGCTTAATTGGAAGATTTAGCCAGTCTTTTTTTTTTAGGCTAAAATGATGCTTAATAAGACTAATTGCACTGTTCACTATTCTAGAGAGGAATATCAACACCCCAAATATCTAACCCTGTTTATTACCAATGTTATGCTTAGATGCTTTTGATCAATTCATTGTTGTTAACTCTAATCTCTTACAAACAATTCATGTATACATCTTTAAGCCATTTTAGGTGGTAGCTTGGGACTTGTGATTGGACCAAATCATTCCTAGAATATATGTGTGTGTACCAAACAAATAGGTATGGAGTAAAGCTTAGGCATTATCAACAAGTAGGCCATATGTTTGAGACATACCAAAACAATTTTATATGCATACATATATATATATATATATATATATATAAATTTCAACTGTTGAACATAAAAATTGAAGACTGTTTACCTGCCTGTTATTCAAAGGGACATGGGATTAGATTTCCTAGTCTTTTCCCAACTCTTTCCTTGGAAACATAATTAAGGTGCCAAGAATTAACTGCATTAAATTATTGACCTAATCATAGCAAGGAAGACGAATCATGTATGTTGACTAAGATAATTTTATTTGTGTGTTAATTTTCAAAGCAGAAGCTGCGAAATTTCACTTTGGAAACGACAAATGGTAATAACTAGGAGCTTGTGCTTATCATTTGAATTCATTTGAAGAATTCCAAGATTTTTTGAAGCAGTCTTACAGAGGGATAACAATGGTTAGACCAATGCTAACTAAAGTGACACTAATCAAGTTATATATAATTCAAGGTTTTGATTACTAGTACCGATAATTTGGAGGCATATGTAACATTCTTTTAAGGGTATTTAAGTCCTGGTTGCGAAACCTTAGCAAATACATTAATCCTGTCAAATTACTCACATAAAAAGTTGTTACACTGCGCGTAATGGTAGCTAGCTGCAGAATCAGATGATAATTCCTTATTCACATTGAATTTAAAATGTTATGATCTGATCTTCAATGCAACTTTGTTTTGTTTTACTGGATCATATCATCCCCCATTAAGTTAATGTTTTCTTGCTAGCACAGCACTGGTAGTGCACTTTTCAGCAGCAAAAACCCTGAAACCATCTGGCGAAAAATGT